ATTTGTATCTATATTTTTTATATATATATGTATATATATATTGTCAGATATCGATACACATGTAGATGCAGAATACATGTATATATATATATATATATGTGTGTGTGTGTGTGTATGTGCGTATGTGTGTGTGTGTGTATGTGCGTGTGTGTGTGTATGTGTGTGTGTGTGTGGATGGGTACGTGTGGGTGGGTGTGGGTTTCTGCGTGTATGTGTCTGTGTCTGTGAATGTCTTTGTAGAAATAGATATCGACATAGACATAGAAATTGAAAAAAATGTATACGTATATGTTATTATCTATCTATCTATATGTCTATATATATATATATATATATATTAGTGTGTGTGTGTGTGTGTATCTGTGTTTGTGTTTGGGTTTGTGTTTGTTTTGGTTGTATTTTTAATTTTTATGTCTAATTTATCTCGTCATGTGCGTCGCTTTCTAATAACTGCGCTTACACGTGACCATACTACAGGATATGGTTGCTTCATTGCACACCGTGATGGACCACATGTACTTCCTGGGTAACGCGAAGAAATGGTTGGGGGAGGCGATGGACGCAGACAAATGTATGTTTATCTACGTAGCACACGCTTGTACGATCTCTATCTATGCGCTAGCCTGTTAATTTACCAATGATCACTGGAAAGACGACTGTACGTTATGTATAGTCCATATGTCTTTCGTGTCGCGTGATGTGGTGCCATTTCTTTCAGTGCGCGTGCTGATACTCTCCTTATCCCGCGTTCATCTGTCATCCCTGTCCTGCAGTGAGTGTGCTCCTGCAAGAACTCGACTGCGCCTTCGAGTGGGAGGACAGCGCCCACGTGAGTGAGTGCACGCGGAAAATGGCGGATGCCTTGCGCGACTTCCACGCGCGCATTGAGGGCAGTGATACAGTAAGCGAGGTCAAGAGTGAGATCGAGGCACACAACAACCTGCACGGATCCGGCGAGGAGGGATCAGACTCGGACAGCATCCTGGTGGTAAGCTAGTTCTATGGAATCGGGGGGTGGGGGGTTACAGAGGTTTGACTAACTGAAGCCAGTGTGCTCTCAGCAGAAGGGTGTTCCGCGGTCCTCACTTCAGTCAGCACTGCGCCGAAAATTCATATGTTCGTCAGCGTACACTTCCTACATAGATTCAAATGTGCGAATATGCATAAGCTACAACATACACAAGTTAGTGTGCACATATATTCCTAAATCCAAAAGAACTGTAGCAATGCTTGTGCTGTCTCGGATAGCCATCACCCAAAGTATACATAATGCTCGCACACTCACATCTTAGCTCTTGCACACTCGATTTCTGACCCCAGGTACTTGTCGGTGGCTTCATGATAGTCTCGGTGTTTGCTGCCGCTACTTATGGAGGGGTGTACATGTACGGCAAACGTCGCAAGGGTGGGCAATTGTTCAACAACGACCGCATTGACGAGTCCATGATGATGGTCGCAGACGAGGACGACCTCGACGGGAGTGATGATGAACTAGCTTTATAATAATCTCAATATTGATGAAGGAGCTGCTGTTACATTCAAAGTTTGATGCAGCTGCAGTCTTGAAACGGCTAAATGGTCGATGGCACCAATGTGTGCTTATGCGCAGTTATATAAGTGGTGCCGAAATCACGCGACTGAGCCATTGTTGGCGTCCACCTCGCCTTCGCCTCATTGTAAATATGAAATAAACAGCAATCACTGCATATCTCGCTCCCTTATTAACTATTGTGATCGGAAACAAATAGAGGCATAAGCATAGCCCTATGTGGTTATAAGCATAGCCCTAAATGTTCGATTTAGAGGGCTGAGGGGGTCATGTCAAAAAACAAGTGAACAAATTACACACGTAGCCCGCCTTTTTTTCCTTTTTTTTTTTGGAAGTAAATACGCATGAAATACTCACTGTATGCAGATTTTAAAATATTTTTTACACAGACCACTGGGCACTGGCACTCAAACACCTACGGCTACGGGGCTATACACGGGATCGAGCTACAGCTTCCAGGCTGCCTAGTCGCCTACTACAGTCCTAAATACAGTCTACACTAAAAAGGAAAAGAAAAGGCTACGTACTACATACTACAGCTGCTTGTCGCTTCTGGTTGTTTTTATGGCGAGTCATCACACGTCATGGCTTTCGTATCTTGCGTGGACGAATAGCAACAACGCCCTGTGCACGACACTGCAAAAAGCCGAAGATATTTATTTATTTTCAAATCACTGGCGCTTTTTACTTTTCAAATCAACCAGAGGCTATGAAATTAAATATGTATCGTGTTTCGTGTATCTATACATACTATGTTTCGTGTACTTATACTGTAACATCGGGAATTTTTTTAAACGCACTGTTCTTCCTGTTCTTCCTATTCTCCCTTTTCTTCCTGAACCTTCACATCTGCCACACCATTTGCTACATACCGTTTTCTTTTCTCGTATGCAATTATAGTAACCGATACTATTACTTCTGAGCTTCACACATGCGACACTCATTATATAGTTAACCATGCCAACGCAAGACAAATCCCCCGTGATTGGCATTGATCTCGGCACCACGTACTCATGCGTTGGTGTTTTCCAACATGGTAGGGTGGAGATCATCTCCAATGATCAAGGAAACCGCACCACGCCCTCATACGTTGCTTTCACTGACACTGAGCGACTATTAGGAGATGCGGCCAAGAACCAGGTTGCTCTAAATCCGGCAAATACGGTGGTTGATGTCAAACGCTTGATAGGTCGGAAGTTTAACGACAGTGAAGTGCAGGCGGACATCAAGCACTATTCGTTCAAGGTGGTCGAACAGAACCAGAAGCCAGCAGTCCAGGTAGAGTATATGGGAGTAGTGAAGACCTTCCTTCCGGAAGAGATCTCATCGATGGTGCTGACCAAAATGAAGGAGACGGCAGAAGCATTTCTGGGGCTCAAGGTGATCGATGCGGTGATTACAGGTAATATTGGCAGTGAATTGATTAAAGTTAACCCTCTCTTGCCTGCTATCTCGATACCAACGAAATTGGTCGATTCTAATGCATTCGTTTCATTAAGAAAAATGTGTATAGTAGTGACTGCAGCTTCAAAACCTTCCTTGCTCCATCTATTCTGACATGATAAAAAACAAGGGTTGTGATCGTGACTAAGTTATTTAGGATGGTTCGAGTGGTGAATCCACACTGTATTCCTTGCTTGAGCCTCAACGTGTATTCCTGACTAATTCCCTGCCTGTAACAGTTCCCGCGTACTTCAATGACAGCCAACGTCAAAGCACCAAGGACGCCGGGGCCATCGCCGGTCTCGATGTGCTGCGTATTATCAACGAACCCACAGCCGCAGCGATTGCATATGGATTGGATAAGAAGGCCGCCAATGAAAGAGAAAAGAAGATACTCATCTTCGATCTTGGAGGAGGTACATTTGTTGTGAGTATGCTGATTATAAACTTATATTTTCATGTACCTATGGTACTATATCTATAATTCAAATAACCACACTCCTATCTAGATATAGATCCACCATTGTGCATATTCAAGATATCCTAAATTTTGCCCACTTGGAACCATTGAATCCCAGGCACATTTGATGCGAGTATACTGACCATTCACGACGGGGTCTTCGAAGTCAAGTCTACGGCCGGCGACACACACTTGGGAGGAGAGGACTTCGACAACCGCATGGTCGCTCATTTCGCGAAGGAATTCCAGCGCAAGCACAGGAAGGATCTCACTGTCAATCCGCGCTCTATGCGTCGATTGCGAACGGCATGCGAGAAGGCTAAGCGCACACTATCGTCATCTGCGCAGGCCTCCGTGGAGATCGACTCCCTCTTCGAGGGTATTGATTTTTACACATCCATCACTCGAGCGCGTTTTGAAGAGATGTGTGCCGATGTGTTCCGCGGCACGCTTGTGCCGGTCGAGAAAGCGCTGCGAGATGCCAAGCTCGGGAAGTCGGACGTCGATGAGATTGTGCTGGTTGGTGGATCTACGCGCATTCCTAAAATCCAGAAACTGCTCACTGAATTCTTCAACGGTCGCGAGTTGAACAAGAGCATTAACGTTGACGAGGCAGTCGCCTATGGCGCCGCTGTTCAGGGCGCTATTCTACGTGGCGACACGCACAGTGCTGTCAGTGACCTCCTTCTGCTCGATGTCGCACCCCTGTCAATGGGTATTGAGACTGCCGGTGGGGTGATGACTTCTCTGATCAAGCGCAACACCACCATCCCCACGAATCAAACACAGATCTTCACCACTTATACTGACAACCAGCCAGCCGTATTTATCCAGGTGTGCGAAGGCGAGCGTGCGATGACTAGGGACAATCACAAGTTGGGTGCCTTCGACCTCTTTGGCATTGCCCTGGCTCCCCGAGGAACACCACAGATTGAAGTAACGTTTGATATCGATGCCAATGGTATTCTCAATGTGTCTGCGCAGGATAAGGCCTCTGGCAAGTCGGAGAAGATCACAGTGACTAACGATGCGGGTTGCTTGAATCAGAAAGTCATAAACCAGATGCTGGCGAATGCTGAGAATTATGCAGCACAAGACGAGGTCTAGAGACAGAAAATAGCCGCCAAGAACGATCTCGAGAGCTACGCCTTCCAGGTGAAGAATTCGGTAGAGCATGATCTCAAGGACAAGATATCCGAAAGTGATCGTCAGGATGTGGTGAAGAAAGCTGACGAGGTCATCACCTGGCTGGACCACAACCAAATGGCGGAGAAGGACGAGTTCGAGTACCAAAAGAAAGAGTTGGAGTCTGTGGTGAACCCCATCATATCAAACGCATACAAACAGGCGGGTGCAGGCGGTGCTGGGGGTATGCCTGGGGGTGTTATGTTTGGAGGGATGGCAGACGCCGGAGGTAGCGGCCCTACGGTTGAGGAGGTGGACTAAGGATAGTCCCAGGCCATTCTACGTTCATGTCTCCACCGACTTTCGACCTATGACCTTTAATACCGGTGCCACTCCACGTATCGCACCACCGACTAATATTATCGTTACCGTGGTGAATAATCTCTCCTAACAGCAGATTGTGTATACACAAGGGATAGGTGATCGAAACATCCATACATTATTGTATTTGCTTCATCCTGAATAAAAAATAGATATCATATGTCGTTTGCCTTGCTTCTTGTAGTAATTCGCAATGTATCGATGTCTACATTTTTGTTTTCCCTATCTATTAGAGAATTGAGCTAACCTGACCTTTAGTATTGAGCTAAACTGATAATTTGAGCGAAATCAGACGCGTGAATCACCGCTAGACCGACAGTCGCGTGCGTGTATCGCTCGTTTGAAGCACAATAATTCCGTTCTGTTTCTCCATCCCGCAATGAAAGCGTACAGTTGCTCAATTACAAACCTTACAGCAGGTTAATCCCGTTTGGTATTTCGGTGTTTGCAGATCAATATTTATTTACCCAGCGGACTTTTCTACAGTGAGCAGTGCTGTTTTTACTGTCGTTCGATGCGCAACTACCAATTGTGAAGCACTCGACTGAAGAAGCACGTAGAGTGGTCTCCGGGAATGTGTGGTGACAGGTCTGGGCTGCTGTGGTTTAGCGTGCATATGTGGATGATGGTGCTGCATTATGAGATGCGAGATCGGTTGTCAAGGAGATTCCAGAGACTCAACATACTAACTAGTCAATCAATTGCATAGATGTACGAAGACAGGCCTCTATACACTCCATGCTACTCTCAAGTGCTTTCGATGGCCAAGTAGTATTGATGACCGTCCTCTCCGCTTCTCTTAACATATATGTGCGCGGAAATGAACACTAGACTGGAAATTCGACACCCGAGTGCATATAAGTGTGTCGATTGTACGCAATCCGTTCCAGAAAATACTTTATTTAGTATAGTAACCCATTGACACCAGCGAAGCCCTGTTTTTACACCACTTGTACAGTCTTTGCGATCCAAATTCAGCTCCATATGTACTAATCGCACGGGAAATAGCGCTGAGTGACGCTGTTGGACTCAATTTGCCAGTGAGTTTTGCTATACTGCATTTTACTACCCGTTGATGATTCCCCGATGATTCCCAGATTGACCTCCCATCAAGTCTTACGCAGGTTTGAAGCTGCACGTGAGATGCATGGAAACGATGATGCCTATCTCAAATACAACATACATGCATACACCAAACTATAAATGCATACAGCTTAATAATGATGTGGCACGCCTCTTCTTGTATCCGGCCCGGCTTCATTGACCGCTTACATCGGTGCTTCGTTCCAAATTCGCTGAATTTATAGTCTATAGCAGAAGTTACCTGAGAGCTAGGTTATAGTTGCTGGTGCCATACTTCAAGCTTACACCCCTACACCTACAGCTAGTTTGAGAACACGCCACAAGTACCCGTGTTCGTAAATACTCCATTCTGACGGAGGCTGGTACATATTTCGACCCATGTGCAATTGGGTTATGTAAGCACACAGAGCAGAAACAAAATAGCTCAGCACCCTTCTGAGAATTTTTATTCTTCCGTGTGCGCCACTACTACTATTCCGGGTATATCCAAGCCCGCCATTCATCCTTTCTGGCCTTAGCAGAAACTATATACAAACGCGTGTATTCCACGTTGTCCGGTGTTAAACGCGATAGTTTGCGTTGCTGAATTCGACGAGCGATCGCAACCACTCCAGCTGACTCGCTTAGTCGAAGGAGATCCCACTACCAAAAAAATGATATTGTATGTAAATATTAAATTACTTAGTCTACCAGGTCCAAGGACAGGTGATGTATGTGAGGGTGTCAACGTAACAACTTACACCACTCACAACAATGACGAGTGCCTGGTATTGAAGTCAGCTCCCGTACGATCATACTTAATCTATTAGCTATCGTTCAGCATCGTTGTCTTCACAGCCTACATCACCGGATACGCCGCCACAACGGTTTAGGGTTTAGGGTTATACTAAAACCTAAACCCTAAATTTTGCGCATGCGAAAAAACTATGCCCGATACAGGTCACATTGCAGCCCATCCTCATTGTCACGCATATACTGAATGGCAGTGTGTCCACCATTCTATATATAGCAGCCGCAGAAAATGCGACATCTTTGAGGTGTGAATAGGCTCGCCCTTGGCTCATCGCCGTCGGTGCCAACTATTAAGAAGTGATCGTTGAAAGTGCCGTGTCCCACGCGAGCGTATGTTCGCGAGTGTGAAGTCGGCTCTCAGAGAAACAGCACTCAACTGGTGAACGGAGAAAGGTCCGACACCGTCTGTGTCACTCGTTCCTTACTCATAGACCTGAAGAACCCACGTTTCTTGCTACTACTCTTAGGTGACTTGGGCGTTGCATCCATCAGATCCCCGTCCTTACTATCTTCTCTATCCCTATCTATACCGGACCTACTAAGTCCCCTCAGGAAATTCCTGCCCGTGTGTGAGCTCCTGGGTGATCCGTTCTTGCTAGGACTCTTGGGGGAGTCCGTTGCCAGACCTTCAGCTATGCTAGTGTCTATCCGCAATGCCGGCGATGACCGAGTGCGCTCGGTTGAGGTCGTGGTGAAGTTCAGCGTACTTTTCTCTGCCGTCTGGGTGCTTGATCGAGCTGATTTGGCGCCCTTCATATTACTTAGTGAGCCTGCATTGCGTGCCGGTGAGCGTGCCGGTGAGCGTGCAGGGCTTTTGGACTTACCCCTGGGGCTGTCGTACTCATGAGTCCGACCCCTCCCGCTCTCATCCTCGTTCTGGGACAGATTTTGCCTCGGCGATGTGACACCTGGACTTGTGGGGGGACCGTCGGCCGGCTTGGTATCTATTTCCAGGGTTGGTGGGGTAGCTCTTTGCTTGCTTTCGGTCCCTCCAGTGCTCTCTGGCCCAATGTCCTCAGTGCTGGCTCCCGAGATCGTCAAGTGCGGCTGCTGCACACTAGACGCATTATCGGTCACAGCCAATTCGGACGCTGAGAGTTGCAGAGCACTCAACTCCTCGGGCGATAGCTTGTCCATCGCTTCTCGCTCCTGCTCCAGATCGCGCTGTTCTTCTATGCTGTAGTGTCGTGCGTGGGCGACCTTGTCGCTCTGTCCGGCGTCTGCTGCGGCCAAACCGAGGCCATGGCGACCAGCGTCAATCGACTCTCGTAAGCGCCGTTTGTGAAGGGACGAGAAGCGCCTGTGCGGATTCAGGCCCAGCCCTAAGGTGATAGGGAAGCAAGAAGTGGTGTCAGAAAACACAAACGAATCCGGAAGAAAACGCACTTTTCCGCATCAGCAACAAAAAACCCTGTGTGGCTTGATATATCACGGTGTAAGGCTGATGTTGGCGTTAGGAACATAAGAAAAACTCAACTCGTGTAATGGAAAGAAATAAGTTGTACAGAGAATACGTGGCAATTGAACAGATAGGACCTCGGAAGCCCACTTCGAGAATGCGTGCAGAATTGGATTCGTTCACACCCACTGGCCATGGTTTAATGCGAATGGAGCCAGCTATTAAACACTTACCAGGTACCCATTTCCAAGCTTTACCGAGAATCCCTCTGATAGTTGGCAGGCCATTGTCTTCCACTTCATCGACAAGGTCCACCTGATCATCCGGAAATAATTCATTGTGTAGGGTATCGAGTTCGCGTCTGATGGTGATCATTTCCTTCTCCGTGTATCGCTTTTCTTTGCTGCGGCGATCGTATCTATAAAAACAAACGTCGATACGATTTTGTGTATGGTGTCATAGTCAACTATGTGCAGAGCAAGATGCGACTCGAGCTGTGAATAAATAAACAAATAAATCCGACAAACGCAATCAATACATAGATTAATAGCAATCATAGCACCGAAACGACTTCAGTTCGAGTGATGAAAAGTAAACAATACACACAATATA